TCTCCTAGGGATGACCTGCGAGTCCAGCCTCACCTCCCCTTCCCCTCCTCGAGTCTCGCCACTAAACTTACACTCCAAGTATTCTGTCTTGGTTCTGCTCAACTTGAAACCTTTAGACTTCAAGGTCTGCCTCCATACCTCTAATTGCACGTTCACACCGTCTCGTGTCTCGTCAATCAATGCAATATCATCTGCAAATAGCATGCACCACGGCACCTCCCCTTGGATGTGGCGCGTCAGTGCGTCCATTGTCAGAGCAAACAAAAAAGAGCTGAGTGCGGACCCCTGATGCAACCCCATCATAACAGGAAAATGGTCTGAGTCCCCACCCACCGTCCTCACTCGGGTCTTTACTCCATCATGCATGTTCTTAATCAACCTAATGTAGGCAACAGGTACACCTTTAGCCTCCAAACATCTCCACAAAATCTCACTCGGAACTTTATCGTACGTTTTTCTAAGTCAATGAACACCATATGCAAGTCGTTCTTTCTCTCCCTATATTGTTCCATCAATCTCCTAACAAGGTGGATAACTTCTGTTGTCGAACGCCCCGGCATAAACCCAAACTAGTTCTCATAAATAGACAAACTCCTCCTTACCCTTAGCTCTACCACTCTCTCCGAGACATTCATAGTATGGCTAAGCAGCTTGATACCTCGATAGTTATTGCAATTTTGGGATATCACCCTTGTTCTTGTATACAAGAACCATCGTGCTCCACCTCCACTCTTCGGGCATCTTCTTCGTTCTAAAAATTACATTAAATAACCTAATGAGCCACTCCAAGCCTGCCTTGCCCGTACTCCTCCAAAACTCCACCCGGATTTTATCCGGCCTGGTCGCTTTTCCCCTGCTCATCTTACGCATAGCCCCCTTAACTTCATCATCTCTAATCCACCTATAATACCCAAAGTCACAACGATTCCCGGAAAGTTCCAAATCACCCAGTACAGTGCTCTCGTCCCCCTCCTCATTCAAGCGACTATGAAAGTAGGCCTGCTATCTCCGACGTATAAGCCCCTCATCCAACAAAACTCTACCTTCTTCGTCCTTGATACACTTCACTTGGTCCAAGTCACGTGCCTTCCTTTCTCGCGCCTTGGCTAACATGAACAACCTCTTATCCCCACCTCCGCCCTCAAGTTCCTCATACAAACGACTAAAAGTTGCAGTCTTGGCTGTCGTAACTGCCAGCTTTGCCTCTTTCTTAGCCAACTTATAATGTTCCCTATTCGCCCTCTTCTCCTCCTCGTCTTCACTTTCCACTAGCTTCAGATACGCTGCTTTCTTGGTTTCCACTTTTCCTTGCACCTCTACATTCCACCAACAGTCTCCCTTGTGACCACTAGAGTAACCATTTAGCTGCAGTCCTACTCAAATGTTAGATTGTAGTATGGGTGACCAAGCAAGAGGTTTTTCATTGATTCAAAGCTGATAATTATCAAGACTGAAAAATATCCAGCTCTAATGTGTGCATTCAAAATCTAGAGCACCCTATTGGCCAACTGAATGCAGATTTTAGTGCCAAATATAACATTTTTTCTGTGCTGAGTCAACCAACATTCTTAGCACAAGTGTTCATCTGTGAGTATTCTAGATCCATATGAAGCAGTAAGTTAAACCAGTAACCGGGCTCTTTACCAGGAATTTGGAGTGATGATTGCACTAGAAACTTGTCATATTAAGTTTGCTGTTGCATGCAACAAGCCCTTATGAGAAGCTTGTTCTGTGCATGTGATAATCAATTACAGTCAAAATTTGGCTGCTGAAGAACTTGTGTCGTGCAGAACTTCTGCATATTTTCCTTCCTTGGTGAACAGTTCTTATTTTGATCTTATACTAGGACAAATATGTAGAAAATTAAGGACAAATGTGTAGAAAATTCAAGTCTACAGCACACTAAGTATAATGCAAACTTCCCTGGATTAGTGTCTCTCTTGTCTTGTTCTTGATATGAAGCCGATATACAAACTAGAAAATCGAGTGGTTCCCCCCTTCTTTTCCATTTATCATTTGGTAGTGTAAAATCATAAATGATTCACCAAGGCTAGCCCTCTTACAATATAGACTAAATAAACCGGGAATGTCAAAAGCTGGATTTTATCGAAAACTTTGGTGTTGAGAGATGGCCATTCAGTGATCATAAGGATGTCAGGGTCAATTAGAATTTGGATTTGAGTCTACGTTTTGATGGTTTCAGATAAATATTTGCTTTGAACTTTCAATCAGTCTAATCACAGAGCTGACTTCCCCGTTTAATGAAGCGTACACAACTTAGTGAAGATAATTGAAAACCATATGATTGGCAGTTAAAACTTTGGCTGCCTTTAGTCTTCCTGGTTATCAGATTGCTTATCTAAAACTTCGATAAGCTCTGAGTGATTTTCCGATTTAGGAAGAGATGAAGTTGTGAATGTGAAATACATATTGTGATGGATATTTCCTAACATCGCTTTTCCTTTTGTCCTTTCAGATGGGAAAAAGATCAGAATTCCAGGACATAGATTACTGAGCAACAGACTTGTTAGGTGCCTAACAAATGTTGAAGCATTTATATTGCGAGCTGCAGATCTTGAAGAAGTCACTAATCTTTTCGCAAGATTCTTGAGGAGTACACGTGTTCAAGGTGCCATAAGGTAATTTAATTTTATAGCTACTGTATCTCCAATGGGTTTTTTTTTAAGACTTGAAGCTTGATGATAAACAAATAACGTGGCATTGATTTTCATGACTCTACTTGTAATGTCAGATCTGTAGAGTAGCCATACAGAATATGAGAAGTTCAACTAGAAGGGCCTCTCTGGACATGATGTCAGATTTACATGTTTATGTTTTAGAGTTAGGTGGTAGCGGTGGCGGAACTAGGTAGTGTCAAGGGGGTTCCCTTCATCGGAAATTACACTCTACAAATAAAGTAAAAATGATCTTTTTTATGTTATATGTGAGCTGTTGAATCCCCTTGACAAAAAGAAAAGTTCAAATATAGTAGTAAAGGGGGTTCAAAATTGCTTTAGGTCATAGGTTCAAGTTCCAATTGTGACATCCTTAAAGAAAATTTGAATCCCATTGTATAAATTTCTGGTTCCGCCACTAGGTGGTAGCTCCAAATCAGTGGGCCTTTACTCAAATAATATCACTAAGTAAAACCCATTCAGGTTTCTTTCTATACTTTCATTCCTAACCACCAGCAAAACTATAATCTATATCATTCTGCAGAATTAGAGAATAACAATTAGTTTAGCATACATACTTGTACTGTACTCTTCAACTCGAGGAAGTTAATCATCTTATTAGTTCAAAAAAATTGTGGAATGTTATGTTGTCTTTAAACTATCTCTTTTTGCAATCCAGAATGTTATGCTTCTGCGCCTCTTCTTCCTCACAGCCGAATGCCGCTTTTTCCTCATTCCTTGTCTCTTTGTTTTTGCTCCCCATTTCCCTTTTTTTGACATATCATAGGCTTGAAGTTGTTATCTCCATGGACTTTGGTACTTCTTTTTCGCTCTCTTATCTTCTCATCTTTTGCTTCGACGGATGTTTTATGGAACCAGGGGATGTGGGGNNNNGGGGGGGGGGGGGATTGGATAGTACAATGAACTTTTCTGGTATCATAGCTGAATGGGATGGAACCTTATGTGCTAATTAAAAGCTTTTTAAATTGAAGGAAAAAGACTTACTATATTTATAGGTTTGCTTTCTTCTTGTTTCAAGCTCTTTGTCACCATGGGAACTATTTAATAGCTGATAATCGTTAAGGTATGAATCGCCATATTGGCGAGGGCTAGCAGCAAGGCGGATACAAGTTGCCTGGAGATACAGGAAGAAACGTCAAAGCCGAGCGGACTCTTCCAGCCCCCAACACTAATAACATTCTTACACTGTACTATTTCACAATAACTCGTTAGCTCTTCTGAAATACATTTAAATATATATTGTAATTATTTTAGTCTGTGTATCCAGTTCTATTTTTTGTATGTAGTATAGAATATAGTAGTGGTTGTCATTCAGAACTCGGACTGAATTTGTATTGAAATAATCCATAGATTAACCCCAGATGATCAGTTGATAATATTTAAAGATGATCTTGATGAAAAAATATTATTAACCTATTTTCCCTAATGGCTAATATAATATGTGTCAAGATGGATAATATAATGTAATGCTCTGCGTTATACACCAGTTTGTCGAAGTGGTCTTTACACTTGGTGTATGAAAAAATTAAGTTGATCAAGAGAAATGCATACAAGATCGAGAATCTGCATAACTTTCTTTTGTGTTTTCTGAACCTAATTTTAGGAAATGGTTCAAACCTTAAAGTCCCCCCNTCAATTCAGTGCAGTTGGCTATAATACACTGCCCTTTTATGGCACGACAGTTTACCTGTAGACCAATAAAGTTAATGCACGTGTAGTTATTTTCTGAACAAAGTACTACGTAGGCTAGTTTTATCTCTATTATTGTTTTAGTCTAAGTAGTTGACAATAAAAATGGTAATTAAAAGACAGGTGAGAATGTCCCCATATTTATGGAGTATGGACTGGTGAAGCAATTTGATATATCACTGGTTTTCTTCATTTAATTTCTGGCGTTTTCTTGTATCAGTCCAAGTATTTCTGATATGATGGTAAAGCAGGAGATATATACTTGTAGAAATTAAATGAGGGTAATTAAAGGCAAAAAAGTAATTACCCGTAAACATAACATGTTGTATCTTAATTCCTCTATCCTATATAGCTATGGAGTATGGAGTATTTAGAATTGTAGAATTAAATCTCATGCATGCCTTGTGCTATCTTTTTCCATCCTTTTGATTTTTTATGCTCCTTATGTACTGAATATCCCAACAATTATATACCTGATAATTCGATCAATCTCNTTACTTGAGATTTTAGAATTGTTTAATTTATTGAAAAATGTCAATACTAAAGTAGAGAATGAAGCATGGTTAAAATCATATGTCAAATAATTGTTGAAGTTTGGCAAAATGCCAAAGTCCCACATTGGTTGGGAGTTAAGTTTGGAGGGGATTTTTCCCCTATAAAAGAAGGCCTAATGTTTAGGATTGAGACACACCTCTCATTTGCCTTCTCATCTGTTTAATGCATTTGTATCTTCTCTCTTNGGAGTAGAGAATATCAATTTAATTTTGGTGAAACAATAGCGTAAGACGTATAGCAACCAGCTAGAAATGCTGTTGGCCTGTTGCTCTGCACTGATCCAAATCGAGGATTTAAATGAGTGTGGTGGAAATTCGATGAGAATATTACTCTTATATTGTGTTATATTGCTAATTCAATGTATACAGTACACACCTAGATATTGAAGACAAGCTACCCCTAGATGAGGTATTTATTAGACGAGAAAAATCTTATACCTAATTGTTTACCCAATTGATTTCTCAATCATGCGTATATTACACGTTCTTCAGATAATCTTTAACATTTTACGCGTGTTCATTCGTTGAAAAAGTTTGTCGAGATGAAAGGGAGTGCTCATTATGAGTGAAATAGGTGCATGAATGCTTCAACATCATTATGAAGTTGATCTACCAGCTACATTAAGAATCACCACCAGTTCATTTGCTAACTAATTAAAATGGTGTAAATGCATAGTTCTTAATTAATTTAGTACCTCCTCTTTCCTTTTCTTCCATTTCTGAAAGAAGCTGTGGAGATATTAACTACTGATTAATACAGCAATGTCCAATAACAAACAATGCTTTTAGTAGTAACTACAATGTGATAAAAGATTGCTAGTTAGCTGAAAAAGGACTGTTTGACGTTTATTTGTTTATATAAATCTAGAAGTATGTACCCAAAAATTATAAATTGAAATTTATAAAACAATTTTAGCATGGTCAAAAAAATTGGGCCACTAAACCGCTGGAGTCCAGGAATAATGTAGTGGACTTTTTACATAAGCCCACATAACCTGTAAGACGAATGATTACAAAGAAAAAGAATTGCAAATTCTTATGGTAGCTCAATTATCTCTCCACTTGATAAAAGAAGAAATTTAGAGGCGAATTCATGATTTTAAGTTATTATTTTCTAATAAAATTGCGCTAGTTATCTTCTTCTTCTTCTTTTTTTATAAAGAAAATTGTTCAATCACATTCACATATATGAGCTTCAAGTCAAAAGCCACTATTAAAGAAACTCAAAATTAAATCCTTGGAGGGACCAAAAATAGTAAATCTCTAAACTCTAGACTAACATAAGATAGTTTTAACAATTAAATTCTCACATGTCTTATTCCTACCATTTTAGGATAATCATTTAAGTGGTAGAGAGTGCCATTCATTCAATCTAAAAAAATTGAAGAAATGCAAGTGTAGCTTTATCCATTTATTCCTGCATAAAGTAATGTTTCTACAATGCTTAAGTGAAGGGACATTTTGAGATGAAATGGAAATCTCTTTGTCACTTTCTGCAGTTTCTGTCCAGTCTAATTATAGTTCCTCCTAGTCAAATTTCGGTGTGTTTCTGCTATCTTTGGCACAAGCCAAGCCCATACATTAGCCTATTGCTTGAAACAACACACATTGATCTTCTCCTAAAACAACACACACACACACACACACACACACACACACATATATATATATATATATATATATATATATAAAACATCCCACTTTGAGAGTGAAATATTCTTACCAGAGGCGACTCTATCCCCGAGGTGCAAATGATTTTGGCTTGGTATGTTTTTGTTTCTTTGGATTACAATCAACAATTACCAAATAATGAAGCTAAAATCAGTAAGCAAATAGCAGTAATCGTTACTAATTTCTAATTATCCAGTCACGGCTTTAACACCAAAGACATAAAATTTCAATGATCTATTAAAACTATTAGTGTAATGAGACAAATATAGACATACATATGTATATACATTAAAATTGGAACCCTTAGTAGTTGTAGTAATATTATTGCAGGTAGGAGACATATGACGTCAGAGGGGAAGTTGCAGTAGTTGCTACCTTTCATTATTAAAGCTACTACTTCGTCTCTGCCATTAACAATTCAACTTTACTCCTCCTAATTAAGTTATTTATTTAGGTGTTAGGATGATGGGGTTCTTGAGATAGGTGGGGGGCCAATCTAGACTTTGGTCTAGTTTTATTCTAGCATCTTTAATCACACTTATTTATTTATTATAACGATGGTGTTTGATCAAGTAAGTTTTTTGGGATTTTGCGCACATCATTTGATTCAATAAGTTCATGCTATTTATCAGTAATATAAGTATATCTGATAAAAAATTTGGCACCAAAATTTGTATTGATGGAAAAAAAATTACCTAACGTCTTTTGTATCTATTGAGATCTTAATTATTGTCTCTCATAATCCATTACAACTCCGTTATTTTTATTTTCTTTTATTTATTGGTAAGATTTTAATACTAGCTTGTTATATATCATCCGTAAGAACTTGGTGAATATATTAAATTATTTGACTATTTCCAAGGAGGGATGATGCATGCGTTTACTTGTACTTCAGGTTAATATTATTTTTTCTTATAAATTATGTAGCTAGGGGAAAAACCAAAAGTACATACGAGGTAACTCATGAATCTACACCTATGTGCTTTCTGTCAAAATATTAACATCTCCCGTATGTCTAAAATTTTAGCTGTTCCCATTTATCCTATATGTACTTTTAATTAGTGTCAGTACGTTTCTATTTTTTTTATTTTTATTTTTATGGCAAAAGAGTTGACACAGCATTAATTATACCTACTTGGTTATTTCATCTATCCTTTTTAAGCTTTAGAATATAATAAATTTTAACTATTTATCATAACACAATGTAGCTGCAGTATTATTTTATGCATATGCTATAGTTAGTGTTTTCATTCTTTTCAATACATTTATAATAATATTATTTCATCACACATATTACGTACCTCTACAGAATTCATGTTTAACTTTAGGTGTTTGGTTGGTATCTAGAATTAGTAGTAAAATTTATATTCTTATGATCAGAATATATGTTGATCACTTTCACTAAGCAAATTCTCATTTTTAAGATTTTACATTTCTTTTTAATATCATTAAATATCCATCTGGTGCTAAATTTTCCCTAGCATAATGCCTGGTGTTATTGCATTAATACATTTTTACTTATATTCTTAATACAAGGAGGTAAAAGCGACTAATTTAATATTCCAAGTGCACAAACAAAACCTAATTAAAAGCTTCTTAAACTTCAACAAATATATCATAATCAAATAGTGATGATTGATTCTCCATTCATGCAAGCTATTTCTAGAGCTTTTAAGATCATTTACGATAGTGCACTACTTAATTATAGAGAATCACTTACCTTTGATCAATAAAAACACAGAATTTACAGAATAAAATGGTATCAATGTTGGTTATTATTACAGAGATCCAACTAAATAATTGCTTGCATTATATCTTATTTAAATCTTGTTGTTAAATGCAACAATCATTTTTTAAATCTTTTAATTATGATAGTGCTATTAAGGATTGTATTTGAATAGCTTTGGCATTTATTTTGAATTTGTCCTTCATTCTCTTCTATTTAACTAAAGAAGAAATTCTAGGATATAAACCCAATGCTATCGACTTAAACTCAATATTGAATTATATAGTTAATATTATATTCCTAATCATTAACTGAAAATTCTGGTTTCCACTTAAGGTTTATAAATATAGCACAAAAGTAGCATGGTCAGACTTTCAAGGCTGGCCTTCTAAATTATTCTCGTATGCTCGTTTTAATTATATAATATCAATGTCAAATGTGTGGAAATCACTTTTTTCCTTCCATTCTTTTTGAAAAAAATTAAAAATGTAAACTATAAACGTTCGCCTAACCCTGTCATAAGATCTCGCCACTCGCCAGAAATTTCATTTACAATGACTATTTTATCCTTTAAATTATCAACCTCTCGTTCCATTTATTTTTTTGAATCATGATATACTTCTCTTTTTATTTTTACTTCTTTTTCTTCCTCTCTATATATCATCTTTCCTTATCACGAAAATGATTAGGTCAATTTTATGTTATTTCTTCTCTCTTTTTTAAATCTTAATTAAATGTTTTAGCTA